GTTATCTGCCTGGTCGCGGGGTTCCACGCGGCAATGCGCGCAAAATCTTTCTGTAGAAATGAACAGCTTTTCACTCTTTTATTTATAAATTTCTACCTTCCAATTTATTTTAAAACACTTCCTGTTCAATATGGGTCATTCACATGAATGAGAACAAAAAAATCGGCAGTGGAAATTGAAAAAAAAATTATTCGCGGCGTTCGAGACGATATTGCGCCCTGTACACGGATGGCGTCGTGCCCTAGGAAAATAGGTAATTTCAAAGGTCCTCTTTGAATTTCCTCCTCAAAAGTTGTTCCCTGTAGGTTGCTTATAGCTCGAAAGTACTTCCTCGAGTTGTCTGAGGCCAGCAATCCCTTCCGTGAATAAGGTAGCTGTACCTGCGGTCTCGCCCATCTATGTGGTTCCCCTCCTTTCGTCGTCTAGTCTCTCCTTTTCGTGCTCCAGTGTTTCATCGTTTTGTATGTTCACCGACTGCTCAGAATCAATTGCAAAGAATAGGTTGTTGTTGAAGGGATCATGAGCTAACCGAACGAGCTCGCTCTCCCTCCCCCCCCCCCCTCACTCCCTCCTTATGGCAGCACTTTTCTGCAAGTGACACACCTAGTAAAGATCGCGCAAGTACCCGTTGCGCTGTGTTCTCTCAAAGCAGAACTAAAGCCGCTATCTCTGCAAACGAGAGGGCGTGTAAAGGAGCGCAGCTAGGCCAGCCTTTTCTACGAAATGTTGCGGGCTCAGGGTAACGTCATTTAGGCTGTTCTGCCTGCCCTCCAACCCACTCGCTTTCCTTGGCTGGAATAAAGCCCGCAGCTCGCCAGAATGTGTTTGTTCGCTCGCGTGAACACATCTGCGATCCATAGCATCCCCACTGGTTCTTTCAAACAGCACAGTTGGTTTCCATTGTGGGCGTTTTATGTCTGCACCATGCTGAACATATGGTGGGTGGGGCGGGTCCGAATTAAGAACTGCTAGGAGCTGCCCTCCGCCGATTAATGCAAATTTCCTGTGGTGTGAAGAGAGGAGGGAAGATTGGCTAGGTCTTGTACTGTCCCTGTGAGTCAGCATGAAATATTTTTAAACAGACCACTTACCTCACAAGCATCCGCTCTGTCAGGCAATGTCCCACTGTAAAAGCATGACTGTTAAGGCTACTTACGCTTCGAAAGCTACACGAAACATTTTCAGGCATTTGTCATGGGGAAACTAGCTGCGATTTTCAGCACAGTCGATTTCGATAGTCTGAATTTTGCCGATGGAGACGACATTCTCGAAAGGTTGGTTTCGCAGAACGTTCCACAACAGTTCTACTCAGAAAGTAGGATCAAAACACAGCGTCTCACCAGAGTAAAACCCATGATATTCTTAACTGCTATGCCAAGCTCTATCCATGAGATCAGCGTGGATTTTCTTCTCTGAAATTCCTCTACTTTCAGCATTTTCGGCGCTGTGGGAGGGGCATTTTAGCAATCCGCTCATTTCTGTTATCGGTTCTTGTGATTACACGTCTCACTTGGTGGCACCTGTGAACTCTTGTCAAGTGTAAACAAAATGTGCACTTTTCCATGGTTTAAAGAAAATAACAGGTATCCAAGGGAGTTCGGTAGTGATCGATTGGAACCAGCTAAATGTCCCCGCTAAGCCGAAATGATTTTTCAACTGATTTTCCTCACTAGAGACCTTTTTCAGCAAAACGAAAAAGGACATCGTCCAAGCTCTACTGTAAGCTTTCGCCTGATGTCTGTACGAAGAAGCTGACCCAGCAGTTTGAGCAAAACATGCTCAGCCAATGCGAGAACACAAGCATTTCCAGCGTTTGTTCCAAGTGGGTACAGGACTGTTGAATGCATGTAGCTACAGTTCTGGAGTGGGGCAGGGGGGGGGGTTCGTGCTTCATTTGAACGTGACAGCGACCGCGCTTCTGGTGTTATATTAATGTTCAAGAGCGAGTAATCATGCCTTTTTCCAGCACAAGGCAGGATAACAGCGATCTCCAATAGGAAAAATCCCACGCAAAAACATCCTTTGCCATGTTCAAATGACGCGCGCAGCCACACCTCCCCTTCCTCCTGGATATGATTAGCGCCATTTGTCTACTACAGGTTAATGAGTACGTTTAAGGGTACCCTCCAGTGGTCGTCCTATGGTGTATTGTGCAGGTGTAGCACAAGGAGGGGACATGGAATTCGAGAGGCTCCATAAGCTATTGCAAAAGGAGATGAACACAGCGGAAAGAATGAGGCTATTAGAGGCGCTGGCATGTAGCCGAGACCCACGGAAATTGAGAAAGTACGTTGTTTTTATTACCGTACTTGATGGGATCAATCAATGAAGTGCTTTCAGAATACTGTATGAGAGTATGAACGCCGGCAAGGGTTCAGTTCCCAAGTCTGACGTGCATCAGCTGGTTACCGCTATGAACGATCAACCAGTAGGAGCCGAAATCGTGGGCGATTTCGTTTTGGACAACTGGAAGGAACTTACGGAAAGGTGAGTCAGAAGCTTTCGCTGGACATTCTCTTCAAAAATGTGCTACATTTCCAGGTTTTCCCAAGATCGTAGCGGTTTGTCAGCAGTACTGGAAAATGCTATCCAGCTCAATAGCGAACGAGAAGTCAAAGAATTTGAGCGATTCCTCGTGGATCATAAGAGCTCGGCTCGAGGTCTAGACGTGCTTAAACGTCAACTGGAAGTTGCTCGTAGTCGGCAGCACTGGTTAAAGACGAACAGGGATAAACTTGAAAAACTTCTTCGATCCCAAACGTATAAAAAGAGAATTATAAAGGCTGTTATTTGATATCTATAGGTTACCTCAGTTTGTATTATAATCAGGATTTTTTGCATTTTTTATTTATTGAAGTTGTTTATGAACGCCTATAAAAGATCTTCGATAAAGATGTATGAAATTGTTTCATGAGGATTCAGCGGAATCCTTACATCAGTCGCGATTCCTTTAGAGACAGCCCAGCGCTCAAGTAATTTTCGTGATTCGCAGCAAGGCCCTGAAAACAAGCCTTACAGCGCTGCCTCCTCTAGCCTCAACAACAACTCCTCTAGAGCCATTGAGGGGGAGCGCATCCACTCCATGATATTCGCGCATTACTACTTGGCTGGAAGGCCGACTTTGGAGGCGCGAGTCATGGAAAAGGGATGTACGCGACTGGAGCAACATTTTGCGCCTGCAATTATTTACCGTTAGCAACTTTCCGTCGACGAAACTGGCAGCGGGTAGGTTCACTCCGTTCTGCACTACCTTCTCGGCATAACCGCATTTTTCGATAGCCATCGGCGGACGAGCGTTCCTTTGAATACAGTTTTTCTAGCGCTTTCTTCCTATTGGGGCATTCAAAGGCAGTTGGCACGATAAATCCCTAAAAACGAGTAGGGTTGGTACGAGTGGCAGGGCGGATTTCCGCGACTCTGGTAGGCGCGTGCAATACGGTTTTTCCGGGGAGGTACCCCTGTATAAGGGTTCTTATCAAACTAGAGCAACATTCCGTCGCCAAACGCGCCGCCAACGATGCCCGCCCGCCTACAATGGCTACCATACAGATGGCTGGGTTTTGCTTCATTTGTTTGAGTAAAACATGAAGCGAAGGGATTTAGTATGAAGCGGCTCCGGTGCTGAATGGATATAGTAGTACATACAGCGGTGCCGAAGCGGTTATTTGCAAAACGCCTACAGGAAACTCGTCCGAAATTGCTTCTCATCAAGGAAGACTTTTCTTTCGCAGTTTTTGACCGTTTCACTTCGTTTCGCCATTTTAACCAGTAGATAGCGGCGCCTGCTAGAAATTTTGGATGAGGGCACCAATTATCGCGCTCCACGCATGTCCTTTATTCAGTACGCGGAAAAAGTCATCTCGGTGTTTGTAATTAGATGGCGAAAATGAACTTGGCAACACGAAACAAGGTGAAGAGTAGGCGTGCTCAGAACGATAAGTATTCGTTGCTTAGGGATACTCCCTCATAACCGAATGGGGAGCATAGCTAGCAGCACCACGCAGTCCGCGGGAATGAAAGATTTGTGTTGCGTTGGGCAGTGGGTAGGACGGTGGCTTTGCGCGCGAGTCGCGCTTCTCCGGTTTCCTGCGCCGCGAAAGTGAAGCTATCCTTCGAGGCTTGTGGACAGGCCACCATGCCCAGTCGGAAAGAGTTTTGACATCAAAATGAAACGCGGGGTTGCACGGCAACTGAAAGGCCTCTGTGGCGGAGCTTGGGAAATCTAGTGGTCAGGTGGCGGCACCTTTTGAAATAATGGTGATTCCATTGATACCGGCAATATAAACTTTTGCACGAGGATTCTAATCCCCACCAAGGGTCGTATGGTGCCGGTTTGTCCAGTAAGGTGAGAGAATGAGAGGACGGCCGCGCTTTAGTCGTGCGGAATTGGTTACCAAGTGAGTTGGTTAGGCTTCGTGGCTGTAATCTGATGGGTAGCATTCACTGCTATGACTTTAGCTGCGCTGACGCGTGAAAGAGACTTTCGGAGCAGGCTTGATGAATCACTGCTACCGTGAGGCCCTACGGAAATTAGTCATCGTGTGAAAAGTACCAGATGTAGTGCAGGAGTGGCGTAATTTGGGCGATTCGGAATAAGGGCCCTTGTGAACTAAACATCAGTTCTGTAGTCTGTAAGCGTCAGTCCTTCATTACAAATAGACAAAACCGGAATGTCTCACGCAATGTCCAAGAGTGTGCAGTCAGAATGCCGGGGTATTTCTTTATGAAAGCCATTGAGTGGGCCAAGGCATCCTAAGTCCGGTTGGCGCGTCCGGTTTGCGAGCATGTGTGTGAACGCATGCTAAACTTCTAAGTGTCAGAGAGCTTGAACTTTCTAGTGAAAGTAGAGTTAAAGGGATGGCTGCTTTGGCTATTCAAGGGCTGAAAGTGGATAGGAGCCATTCCACGACTAATCGGAAAGTAAACCCGCGTCTCAGAGAGTTGTGTTTTCGCATTGCGTTGAGACATCACACAGTTGGCGCTGGTCAGCAGATGGTATTTGTTCCTGTAGTTGATGGAGCACGACCTGTAACTTACAGTGGGCACGATGGGTGTGAGCGGGAGGTGATTGCCAACTTCATTGGTGTAGGCGCTGTGAGCGGGTTCACCAGATTCTCCACCAGTGACGTTGGTAGTAACCGTTCGCCTTCAACCATCTTGCCCACTGCATTTGAGGGACTCAATTTCCACCTCGTGGAGAACTAACAAGAACTAGCAAGAACTGACTAGAGTTTGGATTGCCCCCCTGCCTAAGCCGAACAGTGCCCTTTGGGCATTCTAATACGCCCCTTGATTCGAATACGTTTTGAAACTTTTATTCTCATAACTGTTATGGAACGGCACAAAGCGCTTCATTTTTGATGCATTTGCAGCCCTTACATCTACAGTCGGCGTCGGTTTTGCATGGCTCCCCGACATCATAAATCGGGATACCGAAGAAGTTTCCCCTGAAATCAATATATCAATACTATAAGAGCTGTAAGCCAGAGAATCCCGCACATACATCGGCCTGTAGTCGCATCCTACCACTGTCATCCTTTGACACCACACCACTGCACATCCGATTCTGTCACTGTATTGCCAGACTAGCTGAAGGGGTCAGTGCTGTGAATCACTGCTGCTCGAAGTTTCTAAATTACAGGGATGTTCTTTACCTGAGAGTAATGATCTGTATATTTGGAATGGTCCCATGATGGCTTGTTGTTCAGAGGCACGCCATACTTCTGTAATTCGCTGAACCAAGAAGAGACACTCTGAAATTCAATCGAGGGCATCCTTGTTGAAGATCTACGCGAGCACGATACTCTCACCAGTTCTGCAGCTCTCGTCTTGTTGAATCCGCTTCGGCTTGCCATCCACATATTCTCTCCCAATCCACTGCGGTGACTGAACGGAGAATGAGAGAATTTGCATTTTTTGGCCCAATTCATCATGATCCTCTCAATTCCGCAATCGTATCTCTACAACATTTCGTTTTTAATGATTTGAGTGCATCTTTACAGCGACAGGCTATGACACGGGAATAGACCCCAAATCCTTGACATGCGGTGGGCGTGGCTGAGTAGTTAAAGGCACGGCCCGCGATCAGGCATCGAAGTTGAAAATATGGCGTCAGGAGGGTACCAGTTTCGCAGGAGATTGCAAGGACGAAAAAGCATGGAAATCGTCACTTGTATGATTATGGGTTCTTACCGGTGAATCAGCTGTGCGTATGAGGGCGTAGTGTGGGAGATAGAGTCAATTGGGCACC